TTTTCTGCAGCTATTTGTGCCTGGACACAAAAGTACTGTGCCAGTGAGTTCAAGCTGGTATGAAGAGAAAAAATATTTTAACTATGTAAGTTCTTTTGATTAAAAAAAAAAAAGCAAAACAACAGTAAAAGACCCCAAACACACATACAAAAAAAACCCCAAACAAAACAAACCACAAAACCTTCAAGGATTAGTATCTGCACTTTCAGTTTGAGATGTTATTGCTTCAAAAGTTTATTCTGCTGCTTCACTGGTCATTGCAATCCCTTTAGCTAAGCACTGAGTGGGAGACATGTATGACCTTCATCTGCTTCACTGGAGAGTCAAGAAGTTTTGATCAGATTCTCAGCACTTAGAGCCAAACTAGTAGAACTTGCACTGAAGTGACCGAGACACAGTCATATATTCTGTTCCCTTTCTCCTCTAGAAGAAAGGTGTTCTCATTAGCCAGAGGCCTGAAGGGAAGTGAGCATGGGAGCATTAGAACACTGTAGAGATCGCTAAGTGAAAATTTAGATCTGTAAAAGAAATTAAACACTTAATTCTCACCAAACTGAAAAGAAACAAAGCATCTCTATACCTTTAGGGCTCCCACCACAAACATCTGAATTGCTTCTGAAAAGTCTAGCAGGAACTTCTATGTCAGTTAAACGATTCTGTGTTCATGAAGACCCAGATAAACTCAAAGGATCAAGGTTGAACATTATACTGTATTGAAGAGCTTCCAAAAGTTGCCATTAGTTCATTATGGCATTAGTCAAGGTTATTGAGGGATTACTGCACTTCTCTCCTGATGCATGGACCACAGAGTTATGGCCTGTCTGGATGAACTGCAGGGATCTGAAATGAGCTGCAGAGTCTTGGGAAGGGTTACTGAGATGGTCACCCAAGCACTGAATATGATCTAAGGAAAAAAAGTCAGCCTGATGCCTTTTGTGTTCCCTCTGTGTGTATTTCAGCTCACAGGTTTCCAGCTTTCGACTGGGGAATCTTGGGGAAACTATATTTAAGTAGGCTCTGCCAGATAACCAAGAAAAGTGACTGAACTGTGACAGCCTAATTTGCTCTACCTTCCCTGGGCTGAAACTAGAAAGGATTGAAAACTGGGGGTTTTAATAAATTGCAATATTATGAATGAAGAAAGGAACAGCTTTTATACAGCCCTTATTGTTCTAAAAGCTGGAAAAACATTGCTTTGCCTTTGACAGGGTTTGGGAGACCTTCCAGTGGCAAGTACGGGCTCTCACAGGTAGCCCACTGATCCCTGAGTTCTCCTCATCTGTTCCATGAAGGTCCACTTTTCAGATGAAAACCAGCCTAGATGGGTTCCCATTGCCCTCTACTGAACAGCACCTCAGGGCGTAGCTGGTCACCAGCAGCTCTGGGCAGTGGCTACCACCAGGAGTAGGAATGTGTTACAGCTGAGAAGGAGGACACTGAACTGGAAAAACTGAGAATAAGCCAGCTGTTGAAAGCATACCTTATAGTGACAGAAACATGGAGCTTAGTTTGGTTTTACCCAGAGGAAGATTAAGAGGTGACTCAAACATAGTCTAAAAATACTCACATGGGAAATCAACATTTCATAAGAATGCTCCTAAACCTCACAACAAAGATACAAGGAGCCACGGAATAAACACTGCAATTTCATAAAGTGAGGCTAAGAACACACTGAAATGAACATAATCAACCATGAGTGTAACTTTCCCAAATTTTGTGGTTAAAGCCCCCTCCCCCATCCCCATTTTTTAGATGTAATTCCAGACTAAATTTTCCTCACAAATGAAAAAAAAAGAAGGTGAACAGAAAGGAATTCATTTAGGTTCTGTGGCCAGTTTGACAGAGGAGAGCAAAGATGATCTACAGAACACTTTCTATCTTTATGATCTCTGACATTTTCTGCCAAGGGCTTCCAAATGCTCTCCTATTACAGTCACCTCCCTGTTCTACCTTGCGAGTTTGAGGCAACGTATCCCCTTCCCTGACAGTCAAACAGCCACAAAGCTCATATGTCGTGATGTGCTGTCAGCATGATTACCATGACACAGTGAGAACCACATTAACCGAACTTAATAGCAAAACAAATATCTTGAAGAATACCACACAGACTGGCTTATTTATTTTCTTATTCAAGTCATTCATTAAAACCCTCACCATTTTCTCGTTTATCAGAGGTCACCATCAAATTTCCAGCTGCCACTAAATTTCCAGGCACAACATAGCACTGGTGTATCCACGAGGTCTTTTTGCCACAGAAATTAAGCGTTGTTTGCGAGCTTTCCCTGATGTCATATTAATCACTTTGACTGTCCTGATTTTATCACCAGAATCAATTTTATTTTTCTTCCTGGTGAACATTTCTTTTAAAGTCATTTTGTTGTGGAAACAAAAAAAAATATTTACACAATGAGGATGATCGATGATTGGATGACAAAATAAGTGCTTTTTAAATGCTCATTATACATCTACTGGCATTGGCTGCCTCATTGTGAGCTACGGGCTGCAATCGCAGGGACGCACAGTAGCCATGTTTACATCGCTGCAAGAGAGACCTCCGGAGCTGACAGCACTAGTGGGAAAGGAGCACATGACTTTAAAAAAAAAAGAAGAAGAAAGAACAACAACAGAGAAAGATCATGTACTTTTTGGCTGCAGCAGACACTGAGTCCGCAAACATCTGTGCCCGGTACGTGTCTGGGGGTTAGTTACGGTTCCTCTGCCCGAGGTCACCATGTGTGCTGCCAACTCCAGCAGCCTCGGCTGTCCTGGCTGGAATACATCACCCCTCACACACACCAGGCTGGCAGAGCATGTAGACCGTCACCACCCAGTGCTTTGTGGGGAGCAGTGGCAGAAGGAGAAGCGTCGTCACCCAGAGCCGACAACAGCCCAGCTCTGCTCACAGCTCTGCTGTCTGAGGGAGCTTTGCTTCCACAGCTGAAAAATTGTAGCTGGGACAAAAATATCTGTGATGGCTGCGGGTATCCCACATCTGCCCACCAGCGTGGTCTGCCACCCTGCCCCAAACACTGGTGTCAGCACAAGCAGGGAAAGCAAAGGGGGGAAAGGAGTGGCCAGGAGCTGGGCTGCAGCAAGAACTGACTGCTTCGACCAGCTCTGCCAGAGATGGGTGTGGGAAAGCAGAAGAGGTGCCAGAAGATGTCTAGTCCATAGATCCCACAGACCAAGTCTGTGTCCTCTCTCCCCATGGAAAGAGAGTTCTAAAAGCCTGAACAAGAGGCAGAAGTCACCCTCTGCAGATATGCAGACAACACCAAACTGCATTGGGTGGTTGGCATACTGAGCACCAGTGCTTTGATCCAGCAGGACCTTGGGAAACTTGAGGCCAAGAGAAACCTCATTAAGTTTTGTAGAGCCATGCAAAGCCCTGCACCAAGCTGGAATAACCCCATGTGTCACTTCTGGGTGGGAACCAACTAACTGAAGAGCAGCCCTACTGAGGAGGACCCATGTGTTAGCTTGAAAGACTGATTAAATGGGAAACAACAGTTCCCTCTTGCCACAAATGAGGCAAACCACTCCTTGTAGTGCAGGACATCAAGGGAAGTTATTGCCCCTTCTCCTTAGTGCTGCTGGGCCTGCACGTTTGAGCCTCTTGTTCAAGATGGAGGTGGAGAATTTGAACAGGATCCAGCAGGTGAACTGCTAAAACACTCAGGGCATAGAGCACTTCTGTAAGGAGAACTTGAAAGCATTATTCTTGCTGAGTCTGATGATGATGAAGTCAAGAGAGGACCTAGTAACCGCCCACTATGTAAAGGCATTAAAAAAGATGATTAAGCCAAACCCTTCTCAGTAGTAGCAGTGATTAAGCCAATGTCCACAAGCTATGACTTGGAAGTTGGACTGAGCACTAACAAAAACTTCTTCACTAGAGGACTGGAACAGGTTACCAGACAGGATGTAGCATCTCCATCCTAGGAGGTATTCAAGATTCCAGCAGCAGAGCCATGGTTGATGCAATCCAGTGTAGGCTCCAGCCCTATTTTGAGGTGAAGTTTAGATTAGAGACATTCAGAGGTTACTTTCCATCAACATTTCTGAAGTCTATGAAATCCTGCAAGGGATACTGTGGTCCTGACACAGGTTTTAGTGGACATGCCCACAGTCCCCTTCCTGCTCAAGGCAATGTCCAGGTCTTTACCACATGGGTAATACCCCATGGATGTCCACGTAGGATGTCCACAGCTTCACAAATTCTGAAGAGACTCATAGTGAAATGTCTACATGCTGTTCTACAGCATATGCTGTCCTGAAAAGTGGTTATTTTTAACTCTAGAGGAAAGGCTTTTTTATAACTGGAACCTGGCAAAATAACAGTGTCAAGTCAACCCATCCTCTCCAATGTAAACTCCTCAGATATGAAATTATTCCAGGATAATTACTGGACACAGTTGAGCATGTAGAAAGATCTAGAATGCTCCACCCCAGGGGATTTATCTGTTGCAGGACAGTATGAACCATGAAGTACATTACAGAGTCTTTCATCTCCCCTTAAACACTTTAGAGACATTTTAAATTCCTTGAAAGGAAAACATTTTAAGATCCTTCATGTACTCAAAATGCCTTTCAATAGACCTTCAGAGAATACTTTGTACCTTAGCAGAATCACCATTTACAGCTATAAGACCACTAGTCCTTCACAAACACTATGACTTTTAAAAACATTAAAATATGAGAAAAGAATGACCATTATTATAATTATTATTAGATTTCTTCTTTCCTTCAAAGCAAAACTTTCATCAAATGAGGTTTTCCTTACAGAAATGCTCTAGGTAGATGATTCACACAACAAATTCGTAACTAAGAAGAAGGCAGACTGGAAAAGGGAGTGTGGTTTTCTTATATTAGCTACACACAGTCTGACTGTAATTATCCTCAACTGGAATATCCATACATAAAAGCAATTTTGCAATGATAATAATTTGTACAATTATTCTAATAACATGTTATTTTCCTAATTTTTATAAACCAATTTTAGGACTCTTTTTTTATTGCATTTGCACAGCAATTTCTAAGTCAAATAATGAAGCCTCCCAAGTTTTCTGCAAGGTAAGGTAAGGTGAGGTCAGTGGAGACTGATCTCTACTGCTAGTTACAAATGCATTTATTTCCTCAGTGTTTCTTTCTTCCTCAGGATATCCCAGACTTCCTGCTTGTACAAGGTGTCACCTCTCATCTCTGCAAGTCTTGTGTGGTAAGTTAACATATTTGTATTAACAAGTAAATACAATTGTACTAACTTCCTGTGATGCACAGAATGTGGAGGCACCTTAGATGTGCAAATATCCCGTCGCCATGAGGTAACGAGCAAGTAATCTTACCTTATAGGAAATTTAAGGGCAAACTGACATCACCAAGACAGTGATGGATGTGTGAATTAAATTCCAGAGTGATGAATCCCAGTCTAGCTCTCCTTTACAGCCATACAGTTAGACCAGGAAGCCACCTCTTTCAAGGTGGGATACACAAATCATCTGACCACTGGGATACCCTTGTGCTGCTCATAAAGACTTCTCAGAGCAGGATGGGATAGCATCTGAGGGCATGAACAGTAATCAATATCCTCAGATAAGGTGATCCAAGTGACCAAAGCACAGAACTGCTACTTCTTCACTTCCAAAAGAAGGCTTTTTGGTTTGTTTTCATAGTGAAATAACTAACCTCACTGTCTAACCCTCCTGGGGACCATTACTTTAACTTTTCCCATGATGTAGTTAGGGAAGGTCAGCAGCAGTTCAGATGCACAGTATTTGGTACTGCTGGCTATAGCACGGCAAAAATTACCTATTTCTTGCCACCTTTAGGTTTGATTGTTGGACAGCTGTTGGACTAGAGAGACAACAAACACCGAGGATATAATCAAAGCTCATGGGACCAAGCAGAAACTGTTGTCTTCAGCAGGATTTTATCTCAGGCTAGAAGCACTCCAATATTTCACAGTAAAGACAAGCCTCAGACTTCCAGAAGAAGTTTTCCTTTGTTCTACTTTAATCAATCAGTGATAATTAACCAACATTTAGTTTCGGCTCGAGGAAGGAATGACAGAAATAATTATGTCCTGAGACAGACATCCCATCAGCTTCTCCAAACCTATTAACTGCCTCAGATGAATTAGCAATCAATGAAATGAGATTAAAAAGTCTAACACACAAACCATCTCCATTTCCATCTCTAGAGCCAGGATGACACAAAATTACTACTCAGCCGCTGCATATGTTCCTATAAATGCACCATTATTCTGTCCATAAAACAGTTTTGCTGGTTCATCCCAGGACATGAGTTCCTCTGACACTGAAATACAATGTGGACTTGCTCCTAACTGATCCTGAGCAGGGAATGGAATAACCACTCCTGACATGTCTGTTTATAAGGCACCAGCTAAACAACTGTGTTATCACAGAATACTCAATCGAGAGTTTTGTTCTATAGGTACAGGTGGCCCATTGTAAAAGAAATTTGCGGTCTTGAAGAGAGGTTATTGTAGACAGATTAAAGATATGAAAAATATAAATACTAGTGTGAAATAGGAGGATAAGGCTGTGGTAGTTTTAGTTACTTACAAGGGGTAGCTCTGCCTTCTTTGTTTGACTTAATGTAAACATTTGTTTAGGATAGGATGCACAGCATCCTAGACTCCCTGAACTGTGCCAGTGCAATCCCACTGTCTATAAACACTGGAGATGAATCAGATGAATCCTGCCAAACATCTGCTTTCATTTATCAAAACAAGGTTAAGAAACTTGATCACAATTTATAAACATCTCTTGGGAAGGGACTTAACACAAACAGAAGGGAGATGGTAGCACTGAAAGGGAAGCTGAGCCCCTCCAGCAGTGTCCGGCTCATAACACCTGGTATGAGCAGTAGCAGTCACCGAGATCATTATTGGTGAGACAGCACCGTTATTTTTATGATGAATAAATAGACTAAGCCCAAAGTGACATAAGCCACTTGGTAGTGTCAAGCAGTCAGATTTATATCTAATCTTCATAGCTGCTTTTCAATAGTCTCCACTTGTTTGGAGCTCCTAGCATTTTGATTTTATCATTATACATGCCTGCTGTGCTTTTTTTCTTCAAAATCGTAAATGAAATTATTCTTGAGTCCTGCAGGTTTCTTGTGTGGACTTTTCTAACCTTAGCAGTGAGTAAAATTACATGGTCTTAATCCAGCAAGCCAAGCATAAACTGTATTGGAGAACAGTCTTTACCATCGGTGCCAGTGTTCAGTGTGACTTGGAATCCATGAGGAATTCCAGAAAAACCCCCACATTGTGATAATATTTACAAAATAGGAGTAGCTTGCTCAAATCTGAGGAATCCAACAGACTAGCACCTTTTAGTCAAAAGAAATGTGCTTTTAGTAAAGGTAACTTCTTAGCCAGACTTCTCAGTTGCAAATATTAATAACTTTACCACCACAAGTCTCTCTAGCAGCACTCAGAAAAATCTAAATTTTTATTAACTGTAAGAACATACAAAGATTGCCTGAGTGATACAGACTGGGAAGACACGTGAGAGATGCCAAATCTCCAAGCTCAGAGTAAAAAACCAACAAAACAAAAAACCAACCAGCCAAACAAACAAACAGAAATCCCAAACAAACAAACAAACAAAAAACCACAAAAAACCCCAGGGTATTTTAATACAACCAAACAGGAGCACAGGGCATAGGTAAGTACAGAGAGCATCAGCATTACTCACAGTGGGAAATCTGCAGAGGGACTATAGGAAATACTCAAATACTCATCTGCTAGTTAATGGTGACAAGCAAGTCTCAAGATGAGATTTTGGAGGACAGGAAGAGGATTTTATTTTAAAAACTCACACCTGCCATACACACCCACACACCCACATACTCACAACCAGAAGAAATGTGTGTGTCCATCATCCAGGCACCAAAACATGTATATCCAGGGCCTGCTTAGGATCCCTCGCAGTGAAACAGAATAGAAGGGACACAGCTCTGTAGTCCTTATCCTGGTCTCCTTCCATGGCTGGTGAGCACTCGCTGCTTTGGGATGTGCTTTTTGAACCCTGGAGCTGACAGCATCTGCCTTTTTCCATCTCTCCATCCCACCCTGCCTCTGTGGGTCATCAGAGTGCCTCTCTCTGAGTGCCTCAAGACTCCAGTTCCACCCTTTATTCTCCTGCTATCACCCCTTTGATGGTCTGAGGCTTTGTTTCAACCTAAATGTAGGTTGTCCTTTGCTGCAGATCATCCCTTGTTTGCCTGAAGGTGTATCTCTGCCAGCTCCAGCTCAGCTGGGCATGTATAAATGTGACCAAAGGAGTGTCTTTGCAGCCTCTCACGATTGGTGATTGAGATGCCAGCAGATGCAATCCCATGGATTCTCGTGGATGAGGGGGTCATGCTGCAGGAGACTTCAGTCAGTGACCTGGAGACTCTGTAAGAGCCCAAGTTGCTCCTGGTGTTATTTCCACTCCTGTGAAAAGTGATTGCACTTAGCAGGTCAGCTGGCTATAGATGTGACTTTTTGGGGATTCCCATCTCTACTGGAAATAAAAATAAAAATAATGGTTGAAAACCACTGAACTAGATAATGCAAGAGCCTTCCAGTGGCCTTGAATATGCTATTCATTGAGGTCGGAAGCTGCTATGGAATTTTTCAATACATGATTTAATCCGGGCAGCCTGAGCTCCAGAAGCAGAGGGAGGAAACCCAGCAACTCTGGAGCCAGGGGCCCTCAGGCAAGGAAAGGGAACATTTTCAATGGCTTTTAGAGGACGCATTGGCCAAGTCACACATGTTACAGCAGTTCACTGGTGGCATTATAAAGCTAGAAAAGCAGTGTCAGGTGAGCTGCCTAAAAGGACAAAGATTGCTTCCTACTCTGCAGCATGCTAACATTTGGGCATTTTTGGGTTTTAGCTGCCTCACAGTCAGACAGCAAGCTCTTAGCATAGGGATTTTTTGGCCATCGTAAACACAGTTAGCAGCAGCTCCTCAGCAGGCAGAAACTGCTGTGGCACTGAATTCTCAGCAACTGTGGGTTCCGGAGTGACATAGTCTTGCCCTGGTAGCTGCAATGCCCTGCCCTGTGCATTTCCATCCACCCACTGCAGGACATGCAGCACTTCTCCCTTCACCTGCACCAGGAGTGCCAGGAGACAAGAGGCTTTCTCTGGGAACTGTTCTTTCTTCGTAAGAAAAAAAAAAGGGCTTTTTTTTGGTCCTAAATTTGCTTCTCAGATGGACCGGTCCCAGATCTGAGTCCCAGTGTGGCCATGCAACTGGTGGTGCCAGCACAGTGCAGGGAGCAGGGAGAGAAGGAGCCAAGGGAGGTCTGGGGATGGATTCTGCCGTCAGCCCAGTGAGGTGTGACTACCACTGAGGGTACAGCATAGTCTCAACTCCAAAAAGATCAGTGTCTGAACAGCTTTCCATGAACCACTTCCACATCTTTCTGCCTCAATGGCATTCCTTCCCTTCTTGTTCCTGGAATAGTTTGCTGATGTTTTCTGCAGACAGTATCTTCTTTTCTATTCCAGAAAATCTGGAACTTTATTAATAAAGCAAACAGACCTGTGAGTCCCAACCTTCACTGTTTTCTTTTGTTCATTTCCAGTATTCTAGGGGAAAATAATCTATTAACTGACTGGTTCCTGCAGGGTGTGGGAGCAGCTCACAGTGGGGAGAGGTGACCCAGAGCCGGGGAGCGCCAGAGAACACTGTGACTGTCTCTCCTCACCCTACACCACACCACCCTTCCCAGGACCTCTGATAAATGTGCGTTGTGACAGAGCTTCAAGGGTGATGTCCTCAAGTCAAGGGACCAAGACCACCAAAAAGGAGCCTATTAAACTTTTTGTCCTTCAAATGACAGTAGCCTTTTGGTGGGTGTCTTTGATTTTAAAGACTGGCCAAGCTCAGGAAATTATACTTCACACTCAAGTACATCCAACTCTTTTTAAAGCAGAGAGCATTGCCAGCCCAAGAAATACAATCCTAACCCAAGGCCTTGAGAAATTTGGTGGCTGTTTTTAAGTGTCTTACTCCATTACAAGCAGCTCTTTGTCAAGGGCACCCAACGCTAACCAACACTGATAAGAGGATCACATCCCCCACTGCTGCAAATGGTCCTACTGCCCAAAGGGGATCAGACTCCAAAGAAAGAAACACCACAGGCCATTGAAAGGCATCATGCAGGCAGAGGTTGAGGCAGAGCTCCCTTCCCATCACCACGTACACTTGACAGAGACCTCAATTCAGGCTCTAAAACCTGCACACTGGCTTTAATCCCAAAGGAAGGGGCATCACTCCACACAGGCAAGGACCATCAGTTGCATTACCCATCTCAGGGCCAATTAACCTTGGAGAGCCAAGGGAAGGGGAGAACAGCAATGCTCCCCCTGCAAAAGTGCCTTCTGCAGCATCCGTGAGATAGGGTGAACGTGGGGCATAAGCAAGGTTAGAAAACAAACCCTAACACAAGCAGAGCTGAAGGGATGGTTGGATATAATTTAAACATGTTTTAACAGTAGAGGCAGCCCATATGTGAACACGTGTTTTAACTCCCTGCAGATATGTAACAGCTGTGGAGGGATCCTGGAAGTGTGGAGAAACAGCACCCCCTTGAAAACATGGGCCTTGAAGGAAGATGTGCTCCATGTCCCCAAAAAACCTCCCAGTGGTCATAAATGCTTTGCTAATTTTTTTTTACTGGGTGCATGGTTTGCATGGCCTTCTCCTGAAAGGGACTCTGCTAGAGCACCATCCCGTGCCTTCGTTTCTTCACCTGCACAGCCAGGGTAACTGGGCTGTCCCCACAGGAGCACTGGGAAGATGGATTGGTTAATATTTGCTTAGTGTTCTGGAGATAGCACTATATAAGTCTAATTACATTTTATGCCCTCATGCGATAAGGATGTCATCTTGGATTAGAGGGGATTAGTTGTTAATGCCATTCCTGTACATACCGGTCCCCTCCGGGGCTTTGATCTCTGCTGAGAATGTTTTTCACTCTGCTTTCAAATCAGTAAGGTCCTCCTAGTTATGTTAATCAAGGAAATCAAAGATTTTTGGTGGATGAAAACAACGCTTGGTGGATACCTGACTAAGCCTGCAGACAAGCATAGGTGTGTGCTCAATGAATGATGGTGTGCACTCAGTGATTCTCTTGCTTTGACATCACTAAACCTTTGCCAAGGCCAGGGAAGGGGGGTTGAGTGTGTCCCCTCCCTGTGCACTGAGCTCCAAACACACTACCAAGTTATTAAGTACTAATCTAAGTTAATGTTTAGCAGTTGCCCAAAACATGGCAATTGATGAAAGCCAAATAAAATGGAGTGAGAAGCCACGTGCTGGTAACAATTGCAGGGCAAAATGCTACTGAGAGGACACTCCCACATCCTAGGAGTGCTGCTCTCAAGGGAGTACTCCAATCTGCAGCCATGTCCCAGAGCAATGAGAGGGGATTCTGGCTTCCCAGGTGACTAAGAGGAAATTTGATTTTCTGAACTAGCAACAGTGAAGCTTCCATCCCTTCACCACAGTGACCCTGACCGCTCTCAGAAGACAGACTGGAGAGCCAAAGTGCTCTGCCCTGCTTGCAGAGGTATCAGGAATTAAGACAAGATCCCTTTCAGGGATCCCTTTCCAGCACTCCCACTTGCTCCAAGCATTCGCTTACCTCTGGCACATGCTTGGATTTCAGCTGCTGACTTGGAACAAAAAAGGGCTGTCCTGTCCCCACCTCCCACTAGTGAAGGTTTGTCCCAGAGGAAACCCTGGGGCAGTTGCAAGGCAGGGTGCTGGGGGACGTGGGGCTGCAGATGCCAGCAGGGTGTCCTGGCTTGGCCCAGCCCATCCAGAGCCTCAGCAGAGCTATCACCCTGGGAGCCCCGAGCATCACAGTTATTCAGCTGCAAGGACTAACCTCCCTCCCAGCAGCTACTCCAAATGCAGGGCGTGGAGCCAAGCTGTCAGGGAAGCCAGCAGAATCCCATCAGCAATTTTATCAAACTCAACGTTTTTTGGTAAAACATTTCCATTTCAGTGACTCAGCAGCCTTGGAAAGTTTCTGTCTGCAGCAGTGAAGCGCGAGGTGGGCACACAGGGAAAGCCCCCTGGGATATGCACCTGACCTGGCTGTGTGGCTGCTCAGAAGGAGCCATGCAATGAGCCACCCCACTTTTTTGTCAGTTCCGCTCCAGTCTATTCATTGTCCATCAACAGAAGAGCTTGTATAACAGAAGAGCTTGTCCAAGCTGAGTTTTCAGGTTAAGTGGACCAACATGCAACAGGTCAATACAACAGAAGGATTCAGGCACTGGCTCCCTTTTATTCACATGCTTCATCAAATCATCCATTTGTCAAAATTAGACCCGGAAAAAAGTTAACTTTATTACTCTAACTATTAAAAAGTTTTCATCGTCTAAATTTGTCTTGCTAAGCCCAAAATGTCTTGCCTCATCTGCAGAGAAGAGATTATCCCCTCTCTGCATTTGTCTCTTGCGTACTTGAGGGCTGCTCTCATGTCTCCCTGAGCCCCTTCTTTTGCCTGTTATCCAGCCCAGGTCAAGCTTGCTGGGAGTCATCATGTCCTCACTAATCTCTGGCCACCCTCCAACTTGTCCATGTCTTCCCCATCCCAGTGGGAAGCTGGCTTTT